CGACAACTCTATTGGACTTTCGAGGAGCGCGCGGCGGACGAAAAATCCGACCAACGTCCGCTCGTAGGATTTCGGGCGAGTGCGCTCGAAGCTCGAGAGATCGCGACTGCGAAACGGCGTCGCGGCGACAACTCGAGCATTGGCATTAACGCAGCGAACGGTGCGCGGCTTGCGCCACGGCACCGAGAGGCAATTAGAGGCAAATGGCAATTGCGATCGCGCGGGCCTTGTAATCCGGGCGTTCTTCGTCTCGCGCCATCGTTGCAACCTTTTCAGGCGAGCCGCGGACCCGTCGCAGGGCTCGTTACCGCAAATCTCCTGGCGCGTCTTTCAAAGTGCTTCGCTTTCGCGCGGCCGCCTCTCAAGTTTCTCTGTTAGTTAATTGTGTTGTTTTAATTATCCGACAGCTAATTAGGCGCGCAATTATGAAAGGCAAACAAAACAAGAAGCTCCAGTAGGTGCCGACGCGATGCAGCCAGCCCAGCCCAGGAGTCGGCCTGTGTGCGCATTATTCACAGTACAGTCGACAAAGCGAAGGAGAGAGAGAGAGAGAGAGAGAGAGAGAGAGAGAGAGAGAGAGAGAGAGAGAGAGCGAGTGGGAGCAAGAGGAGCCGGAGGGGGCGCGAGCCTTCGATGCGCATAAACGGGCGCCCAAACGAGTCGCTACTTTCCTCGGGCCGTGCGCTCTGCTTTCCGCTCGTTGCACGCGGCGATCGGCGAGGCCACAGCGCCCGAAGATTCGTCCGGCGCGAGAGCCGCGCGCAGGAATCCGGGGAATCTCCCTTCGTCGGTCCGCGCAGCCTGCGACTGTCGGCGACGCGCGGAAGGTGGATCGGGCCGGCGGATTAGCGGTTGATAACCGAACGAGCGCAGGCTCGCGGTGGCGAGGAGGCGCGCGTAACTGGACGGGCGTAACGCCAAGCGCTTCTGCGGTGGGGCTCGGAACAAAGTGCGCCGCTCATTGTTTATTCGGCAGCGTGGTCGCGCGCGGCCAGAAAAAGGAGCGTAATAGAAGGTGCGGGCGTGACGAAAGCCGAACAGAAGGGAGTAGCTGCGGCGAGATAAACGGCTGTCTGCGGACCGCCCGCACGAGAGAGAAGGAGAGAGAGAGAGAGAGAGAGAGAGAGAAGCCGCACCACTGCGTCACGCTATTACGCCCGACGTTAAGTTAAATTAACTGCGAATTCAAGTTAACGAGCGAACGAGCTTGTTGCTTCCGTTTATACAGCTGCGCCGGTCGGCCTCCTTAACGCTCCGCGAAGATTTCCTCGTTCCCGCCTCGGCCGGGCCTGCGGCTCGTGCGCTCGCCCGCGCCTCTGCTCTCGGTCGGAGCGTTACATAGGCGCGGCGATCGCGAGCGCGCCGATGGCATTGACAAAGAGGGCGCGAGCGCGAGAACTCGGAGCGGCGTCGCGCGGACAATGCGCGTCTCCGGCCGAGCTCGCCTGAAAGGCCGACGGCGAAAAGAAGCGCATTAACCGGCAGGCCGACCGGCGGCCGGGCCGCCTCGTCCAACTTGCCTCGGCGCTCGCCGACTTAATTGCGCGGATGTTTTCCTCTTTTAACGAGACCTCACTCTCGCCAACTTTCTGCTATTCAAACCTGAGCGGCGGATTGTCCCCGACAGCTATATTCGTTTGCTTCGATGACTCGGACGATTGTTGCCTGCCTCTGCCTACGCGGCCATTTCGCGTGTCGATCAGCCAAGCCCGTCAAAACGGACTCTCGGCTGATACGTCGGCGGTCGTTTGGCGTGCGCCATCTCGAGCAATCGCTATTCACGGCTTCGGATTTGTTTCGTCGGTTTCAGCAAGTGCGAGTGCAGTATTTATCGCATCGGAAAAGCGAGCGAGCGTTGACTCGATGCAACTGCAAGAGGCGAGTGGAAAGAAGGAGGAGCAGCAGCGGCAGCGTCTGCGGCGCAAAGACAATGGGGCGACGATCGCTTTCTAAGCGAAAGTTAAGTTTGGTGCTCGGTCGCGGTTCAAGGTTAATCAGGCGGCCCGGCACGCCGCCGATCGTTATCAGCTCGATGAGCGCAGCACTGCAAAAGCTTAATGAAGTTCATTTAGATGAAGCCGGATAAGCTGGCGGCGGCTCATTTACAAACAAAACAACTTTTTACTCCCCGCGAAAGCGCCTCGCTTTTATCGGCGAAGCAGTAAAGATAGACGCGAGCCTCGCGATCGTAAAGTCGTCCCGAACCTCCTGCCCCCACCTCGCGGCCTACTCGCGCTCTCGCTTGTTTCGTTCTCCTCTCTTCTTTATTTCCGCGTGCGCGCCGTTACTATATTAATTATTTGCGCAAAAAAGCCGCGCCGCCGGTGACGACTATGGCGGTGACGACGACGACGACGACGACGACGACGACGACGACGACGACGCCAGATCTCCCATCTTTAATTAAATCCGCGCGCGCGCGCGCGGCTCTGGACGGCGCGCCGCCTCTAACTGTAACTGATTACCTGCGTATTGCGCCGCCGGCTAATGCAAATATAGACGACGGCCTTTCCGCCTCAAATTCAGTTAGAGCGCCGACTAATTAGTCGAGCGAGCGGCCCGTTGTTGCTGCACGACTGCGCGGCTAATAAGAAATCGCAGCCGGCTCGGATCTACTCGAGGCTGCTAGCTGCGCGTTAATTAAGCATGCATCGACGCCCTTTCACCTCGCGATCGCCGTCCAGTCCCGCGCACGCTCGCCCGGCGCGCTTCCACCAGGTGCCACGGTCGTTAGCCGAGTTCCGCTTGACTTTCGGCAAATCGCGTCGAGCGTTGCGCGTTCGCGAGTCGCCGCGGCTCCTCGGCTCCTCGGCCGGCGCATTTCCAACTTTCGGACGCATATCGTACGGCGCGTCAACGCGGAATGCCATAATTGATTCCGAGCGCGCGAGCGAAGAAGGAACTGCGCGCGCGGATCGTAACAATATGCAGGCGATTAGAAAGCCCCCCTCCCTGGCCCCGGCCGCCGGAGCGCGCGATTAATTGCATTCTCTTTGTCGCTAATTACTCGGGGCTTCATAACTTGGCCGCCGCGCGACGATTGTTCGAATTTCCCGATATCGGCGCGTTCAATTTAGCCGCGCGATAATCAGCCCACGCTTTCCAACAAAAACCGGCGTCGCGCTCGAGCGAGCGGCTCGGCTCTGCCGCCTCGCCGCTGCCGAGGCGCCGGCGAAAGCGGGCGACCGCGAACTGGCTGAGCCGCGACAACTGCTTTGCAAAAACCATTGTTACGACGTCTGAGTTAGGAAATGACGAGAGCGCGGCAGCGAAGCTCGACTACTTGCGCAGCTGCGCGTCGCGTCGCTTATTGCGACGAGTCGGCCAGTCGGTCGCATCGACAGCGGCCTCGCGATAAGAAGCTGGCAGCACGCGCCACGACGATCCATCATTATAATAGGACTGCGGCGCGCGAGTGACAATCTCGGGGCGATCTAGACGCGTTAATTAATATAAACAGCTACCTATTCCAGTATTCCTGCTCACCGCCCGATAAAAATAGGTGGTAGGTGGTTAGGTAGGTAGGTAGGTAGGTAGGTAGGTAGGTAGGTAGGTAGGTAGGTAGGTAGGTAGGTAGGTAGGTAGGTAGGTAGGTAGGTAGGTAGGTAGGTAGGTAGGTAGGCAGATAGGTAGGTAGGTAGGTAGGCAGGCAGGTAGGTAGGCAGGCAGGTAGGCAGGTAGGCAGGTGGGGAGGTAGGTAGGTTGGCAGGCAGGTAGGTAGGTAAGTAGGTAGATAGGTAGGTAGGTAGATAGGTAGGTAGGTATATAGGTAGGCAGGTAGGTAGGTAGGTAGGTAGGTAGGCAAGTAGGGAGGTAGGCAGGTAGGTAGGTAGGCAGGCAGGCAGACAGCTAGGTAGGTAGGTAGGTAGGTAGGTAGGTAGGTAGGTAGGTAGGTAGGTAGGGAGGTAGGTAGGTAGGTAGGTAGGTAGGTAGACAAGCAGGTAAGTAGGCAGACAGTTAGGCAGGTACGTAGGGAGGTAGGCAGGTAGGCAGGTATGCAGGTAGGTAGGTAGGTAGGTAGATAGGTAGGTAGGTAGGTAGATAGGTAGATAGGTAGATAGGTATATAGGTAGGAGGCGGGTAGGTGGTACACGAGAACGGAGAGAGCAGCGTCAGTGTTAATTAACGCCGCGAGTTTCAGCACTGATTTACGTGGCGTCTAATTAGCAGGCCTGACGGCGGACGATGTATGTAGCAAGCATTTTGATTGGCTCGGGAAATAGCGAAGACTACGCGCCGCGCGGCACTCGGCGTCCGATCGAAAAACGAGCGCAGGCGATCGCGCAAAGCTGACGGCCGCGGCGCGCTAAAACGAGCGCGCGCGCGCGCGCCGCCGAAATCATCGCTCAGCGATTCCTACGCCTGACAATTAGCGGGCCGAAAATACGCGGCGCGGAGTCCGCGGCGACGGAGCAGCGCCGCGGGTCCAGCCGGCCGCCAGCTAGCCGCGCGGCGCTCCGTCTCATTAGCCCCGTGGCCGACAGCGGTTGACTCGGCGGAACGTCGAGGGCTCGCTCCACGCCGCGGCCCGTCGCGCCGCATTGTTTTCGGAACTCGAGCTCAAATCTGGCCCGCTCCATTATGCTAATGCGCTTTATTATTCTTTCCCAAATGTCAGCCCTCGCTGTTGAGCTATCCACCTCCGCCGCTCCACTCTGCGACAATAACATCCGTTGCTTTGTGCGTCCTCTCGCAACGCCAACTGCTCCCAGCGTGTTGCGCCGTTCGCCACGTCCCTCGCCAATTTTCCTCGGCAGCTATACTTTGCCTTTGTCCGTCTCTTCGACGACCGCTTCGCGCTCACGCTAGCCTCTTGGCTACGATCTCGATAATTTATGCGTCTTGCGGCAAAAAACTAATATCGTCCGATGGTCGATCAGCTCGATAAATATCTTCGGCTTGGAAAATAAATCAAGTCGAGTGTTTCGTCATTGTTGAATGACAAGGTCCGGGAGCAGGAGGATCGAAAGAGCGCGCGAATAAAAACTCGTGGGAACTTTCTAAAAACTTGTATCTTTATTAATTAATAAACGTGTGTTTTATTTTCTTGCGCTCGTGAAGAACCGCGTTGCATTATTTTACAAGAGCCATACGCAATCGGGCGTGTCGTTCGCTCGTTCAAGGAAGACATCCCGTTGGCTTTTTGTCCGCAGAAATAGTTTTTATTTGATTTTTTTGTTTTTTTTTTCTTTTCGCTCAATCGAGGATAAATCAAATAACAAAATTAACTAAAACGCAATTGGAGGATCGGCCGTCGAGAGCTGCTTGGTCAAACCAGTTTTCTGCCAGCTCGCTCATTGTCATTCGAGCTGAGCGGCAACTGAATATTTGCCGTTGGCTTGCCCCCCTCGGCGGCCTCTCGTGAATAACCATTTATATCACACAAATCTTTAACAATATACAAAATCGTAGTTTTTCTTTTGTTTGTTTGCTTGTTGTTCTACCGTTTTTGTTTTCTTCTCCTCATTCTATGTACAGCGCATTATTTTTCTTAAATTACACGCACACCATCGCTCCCCCTCTCTCCTTGGCGCTCACCTCACGGTCTCTTCCTTCGGTAAGACACTTGGCTCCTCGACTCTCCCACTTCTCGGATCATTAAGCATGCAGAACGATTCGTGCTTCTCCATCTTCTTTGCGTCGTTTCCCTCTCTCGCTCACTCTCTCCCTCTCTCCCTCTCTCTCTCTCTCTCTCTCTCTCCTCTCTCTCTCTCTCTCTCTCTCTCTCTCACTCTTTTTATTCGGAACAAAAGTTCGCTATTTGCGGAACGAGAGAACGAGTAATAACCAGTTTCTTTTTATGATACAGTTTACATCGAAGGTTTTGCTCGGGGCGATTGTGATTTCTTATAGCTGCTCGCTATTGAACTTGATCTCGTTCGGGCCAGTATTGTGAGACAGAGGTATATCGCGTGTAGTGGCGCTGGACAAACGTCAGGCTGCTAAACACATGTCGCGTACTAGTAGTGAAGGACGTCGACGAGTTTGTGGAGAGCGCGCCAGTCGCAAGCAATACGAGCGGTTACTTAGACTTGTTGCTCCTTTCGCAGCTGCCATATCTTATCAATTGACCAACGGGTTAGCGTGTAGGGTATTGCACAGTATTGGCCGCGAACGCGCTTGCTTTGCTTAAACGTGATACTTGACAGATTTTACATGGTTTTGCCATCGCTTTGATAAGATTATACATTTATGTTACATTTATTGCGGGTGCAGCGACCGTCGATTCGCGCGCGGACCGAGCTCGGCGCGCGCGCGAGTGGCTGTCGCTGCAGCTTCTCTCGTCGCCCGTTCGTCCGTTCCCGGAAAGATTGTCGCGCTGCTCGCGGATGTGTGTCGGAGTCTATGCGTGTGTGTGTATGCGTGCGTGCGTGCGTGCGTGCGTGGTCGCATTGGTCGCGTTGTCGTGTGGTCGTGTGGTGCGGCGCGCCGAACACGAGCGCTGTCGAACGCTACGCGGAGCGTCTCGAGGTATAACTATATATATGTACATTGACACTTAGAGGTCTGCGGCAAAACGAGACAGACAGGGCAAGGGAGCATGGATGGCGAGGATCCAGAAGAACAAGAACAAGAGAGCCCAGCTCGAGCTGGCGGCTGTTGGCCGAGGAGGTGCGCGAGAGCCGAGGCTGTCGAAAAATATCCCTTTGGGGGCTCGTAACATACTACATGGAAAAATACGAGGATCTTGCTCTGATCGGCGCGCGCAAGATTCGCCAGGGCGGATTGTCCTGTCGACGGATGACCACGAGCTGCTGTACCCTGAGACGCGAGGGCGGCGCCCGACCATTATCACTTTATTGCTTGTAAGCGCACGCGCGGGCATTCGTTTGTCGCTGCGACAAGTCGAGGAAAGAGAGACTAACAGATCAGTTCAAATAAACAGATGAAAACAAACGAAGAACAATTGTCTATCGTATATGTATATATAGGAGACACAACCAGCGCGCACTTTGCTTTCACGTCAGTCAGCGGGCAGCCTCGGCCGTTCAATCGCAGCCCTCGCTCGTCCAGTCCCAGTCCTGATAGGAGGGCTGCGAGGACGAGGCTGCCATGTGGTGGTGATGGTGCTGCTGCTGGTGCGGGTGATGGTGCTGGGCCATCATCGCCTGCTGCTGCTGCTGCTGGTGTTGGTGGTGGTGGTGGTGATGGTGCGGCTGCTGTTGTTGCTGTTGCTGCTGTTGCTGCTGCTGCTGCTGCTGCTGCTGCTGCTGCTGCTGCTGCTGCTGCTGCAAGGCGGCGTAGTGGAGGTGGTGACCCGGCGGCGGCGGCGAGTAGGCGTCGGTCGTGGCCACGTGGTCCACCGCGAGCTCGAGCTGCGGCGCGCTGGCCGCTTGCACGACTACGGGAGGTGCCACGGGCGCGACCACCTTCTTCGGGCGGCCGACCGGGTTGCCGTTTCATTCACGCGACCGCCTGGGTCGGCCGACCTTGCCTTTCCGCGTGGGCATGCCGCCGTTGCCCGCCGCTGCCGCTGCCGCTGCCGCCGTCGCCAAATTCGCCGATTTAACCATCTTGTTAAAGTCCGACTCGCACACTGCTCCACCTTGCAACAGGTAGTATCTGCGAACAAACGATACGAGCTTCTTTTAGTAAGGCAAATACACCGAGGGCCTTGGTATTTTCCGCAATTCGTCCGATTCCATTGCGACTCTTGAAGCCCTGGTCAAATCTATTGTGGCAAAAACCCTTCTAGACTTTATTAGACCTTGAAAGCGGGTTGTATTACGCCGCACTTACTCATATAGAATGCACCTAAATCGAACAACCTTATTGATTGTTGTGTATATTTAGTGATTCATTTATTTATAACCTACAAAATGTTGTAATTTAACATCTATCGTGATCAATTTGCAGAAACTGTGTTACATACAAAAGTATGGTTTCTAGTGAAAAAATAAATTGATATACTAGCCAAACAAATTAACTCTTTTGCAAGATTCAATGATATGCTTTATGCATTAGAATAAGTGATTAATATAAAAAGCCTACGTAGATAATTCGAATTTGTATTTCTCATTATATATTAAGCAGATTACTGAAAAATTGAAATAAAAAAAGACCTGATGAAAACTGTTTTATAAACATTACAGGTGTTTATTTTTTCAAAATTATTATTCCGACGTTTCAGCTAATTAATTAACTTCATCCAGTTATACTTAAACAATGTTAAACAGTTTACAGTCGTTTTCTAAAGACTTAATACTCGATACGCTTCAAGAGACTCATGATAGAAAAATTATTATTGGTAAATATTGATGAATCTTGGTGAAAGCAAAATTAATTAATCATTGCAGACAGTCCATCGATAAAAAATTGACGAATAAAACGAATCAATTCGGCATAACGATTTTAAATTATTCGTTCAAAAATGAAATCACATAATTTCAATCCAGTAAAAGACTAACTACATCGATTGACATAACAAAGTAAATATCGAGAGATTCTGAAAAATTGCATGGAAAAACATTCTGAACGACATTGTGATGGTTATTATTTTTAGATTTTTATCTCTGTGAAATGATGAAAAAGTAGTCAAGAAAGCATGTCAATATTAAACACGTAAAAGTTAATCGAATTCTGAACATTTATACACTCCAAGACTTGCTCAAGGAATTGAATAGAATTCTGCCAGAGAGATATTGCCAGGTATGAATTTTAACTACTGAACGCGACGGCGTATCAGTATAATTGCAGGCACTAGCATGTATCGATTGTACAATCAAGGATTTTGATTAGAGAACGTCAAATATTGAGGCGGTAATTAGCTTTCGGTTCATAATCGACTCAATCTGTTTAATGCAAACGACGAGGAATGCCACAGTAACAATGCCTCAAATCGAGAAAGCTTTATCGAATTATCACATTGAGCGTGGGCTTTTGGTCATGCCGTTTTATCGATCATAAATAAGACCTAAAAAGCTTTCGCCGATCATGTGGCACGTTTGTGACAACCTTTTTTATCTATAAAAGTGCTGAAAAATCGCTTGAAAATACATCATATTTTTATAGTCTACGGGAAATTCATAAAAAACAAAAAATTACAGTGTTAATCTGACTCGGAAATCGAATTCTACAGATGAAAATACGTAATAGACGCGATTCAGCTGGAAATAGCTGTGGACGATTGTGTTGGCATTGTTGCAGATTGCGAGAAAGAGAAGTTTGTTGGTCGATGAAAGTAATGATCGAGAGTTGGATAATGAAGATGCAGTGGTCAATTGGAAACTAAAGAAAGGGCTCGACACCTGGCAATCGATGCGGCCAAGGCAATCGGTATGATTCGTTGCCGGGAGGGTGGAGGGGGGAGGAGGAGGAGAGACGAGAAGAGAAGAGAAGAGAAGAGAAGAGAAGAGTCGAGAGGAGAAAAGGGGAGAAGAGAGAAGAAAGCGATGGCCTCGAGCAGTCCGTTTGTGTTTGGTGTGCAGTTTGCGCTAATAACAGTTGGCGCATCTGTTGTCGGCGGTTGATGGGTAGTTGCGCGGCGGTCGCCTGCAGGCCGGCCGCGCGGATATCGAGCCGGAGCTACACTCACCTGTCGCCTTGCATGAGCTGCGTGCCGCACTTAGTGCATGCGAAGCACTTGGTGTGGAAGATGCCGTTGCCCGCCCTCGTGACCATCTCCGACGGCGGGATCTGGTGGCCGCAAGCTGCGCACGAACCCGATGTCCCGAACAGCCTGCAACAAAGCCAACGGGCCCATCATTCCATCTCGCTCGCCGCGCGCTCCTCGCAACAATGAGCAATCAATCGACAGAACGCATGCATGTAGGCCGCCGGCCGCGATAAGCAGCCAGCCGCGCCGCGCGCCCCGAGATTCCGAGTACGTGTTTCCAATTAAGCGCTTGCACGCTTCTCGCGGCTCTAAGTAAATGAGCTCTCGGCGGCTCCAACTCACGACTCACCTCGACGCTCCTTTCTCTCTCGCTCTCGCCATTCGCTTGGCGCATCGATATAATAAGGTGTTGTAAGTGCGCCGTTTAATTGGCAGCTCTTCTCGCGCGCCGCAGCCCGCGCGTAAATCCCCCCCCCCTCCCCCCCCCCTGTACCGTCGAGATTCGGCCGCGCAAAGCAATCTCTATTCCCGCCCCGAATAGAACGCGACACCCTTTTTTCGAAATAATTAGGGAGCCGGATTTTTTGCTCCCTCGGGATGCTAGCTCGCGACGTATTTACAAGGCTAATGGCAGTCAATGTTTGCGCGCGCGCTACTGCTGCACCAGAGACTCGATGTTTATGCACCAATTAGCCGACGTCGCGTCCCTCCGTGCGTGTTTGCCGCGCGCATATCGCTCGCGTGCCCCAACTGCCAAAGAAGCCAGCGTCTAGCTGAGCGTCACGTGCGCGCAGCTTTTCAGCCGACCATCTACGCGTCTTGTTGATGAACCGCCAATTAGCCGGCAATCGAATGAACTCGGCGCTCGCGGATCGGCCCGTCCTTTGCAAATATGTGTCAACGCTGGCGGCCGAATTCCAATATGAGATGACGGCGGCAATTGTCGAGGACCTAATTATTCGGCGGGCTCCGGGCTGCTGCCGCGCGCCGCGGCAAAGGGCCCTGCGCTGATTTATCGCCGGCCCGGATCTCGCCTAATTGACAGATGTATCGAGAGCGATCTCGGCGCGGGCGCGCGCAATCGATAGAAAATGATAAGCAAACAGAGCGCCTATTTACCTCCTCGCTCGACGCCGCTCGACGCCGCTCGACACCGCTCACCGCCGCCCTCCCCCCCTGCCCCTCGTCCCTCGCCACCATTGTCCCGCTCTCGCTCGCTCGCCCGCGCGCTCTCGCTAAATCTCGTTATTAATTTAATTGCCGGCCTGACAGTTCGATAATTAAACTGCTAATTTATCTGGCCTGACGTTTCAATTCCTTCGGCGCTCTCGGCTGCCGCCGCCGTTGGCTCGGCTTTTTTTGCCGCTCCTTCTCGCGTTCGATCGCGGCTAATCGAGTTTTGCCCGCCGAATTTTCGCTAATTAATTTCAATTTTCAAACTTTCGCGGCTGCTCGAAAAAAGCTTGAGTTTTTATTTTCTTTGAATCGCACGGCCAGAGGAGAGGGAGAGAGCGAGAGAGCGAGAGAGCGAGAAAGAGAGAGCAGGCAAGGTACGTTTCACGCTGCATTAGCCGCTAATTAACTGGCTCTCGAAGAGCAAAGTTATTTTGCTTGGCCAAGCCAGCGAATCTTCGAAAAAGTTTGTCGGCCGGGCCACGGGGACGGGGGTTAATTAATAAGCTGCCGGCCTAATTAACACGCGATATTGACAAGGGAGCTAAAGTAGGGGCAGGGGGTTCGACATCGATATCTCGCGTCGAGCAACTTTGCTCTCTTTCGGCAGCAAGCGATGGCAATTAGCCGCGCGTCTAATTAGTAATTACGAGGAAAATATAGATAGTTGGAAGAACAATCGGCGTCTCGACGAGCCGACGATCGCCGGCTCGAGTCGACGCCGGGTTTACCGCCGCGGAGGCGAGGCAATCGCAAGCTCGCCGCGGCGATAAGCGTACCGTTAATCCGCGAGTCGCGCGTGCGCGCGGGCTAATGAGCTCGATGATCGACGGAGTGGCGCGCGTCCGATCGCCGATGTATCTGTTTGCGCGAAAAAGAGCGCGGCCGCTGCGAGGCCGCTGATTAATGAGAAAAGTTGTAATTACGAGGGAGCGTGTGGAGGGGCTGGGGCGCTAATTTAACTTACAGCCAACATTTGCCAAGTCAATTTAGTTCCGCGAGCGCTCGCGCACGCCTCTGTAGTCTAGCAGTCGTGGCCCAGTGCACGCCCGCCGCCCCCCCTCCCCTGCCCCCGCCACCCGCGCTCCTACCCTAATGGCTCGATATTTTCGATCTCGAAAGCTCGCAGCTGGCCTTTCGTGGGATTTCTGGAAGGACGCCCGCCAAGGCGAAGCTGCAATCCGGCAAAGTGATTCGATATGTGGCGCAATTAATACATGTTGATTAGCTTGGAATCGATCGCCGGCTCCGGGCCCTCGAGGTTAATCAAAGAAATCGAGCGCGGCCGCGAGAGCTGATTAAAAAATGAAGAAGAGAAGGAGGATATTGGATTAAAGAGATGGCCGGCGATAAACAGAACGAGTTCTTCCCCAGCAGACCGGCCTACTCATCATCTCTAGGGGGGTTAATAATACGCCCGGCGCTCTCGAGCGCTCTCTTTATTAAAACGCTCGCCACAGCCGTGCATGCGCGTGTGTTATTGCCTAGGCCGGAGTCTTTGCGCGCGCGCGCGCGCGCGCTCTCTCTCTCTCTCTCTCTCTCTCTCTCTCTCTCTCTCTCTCTCTCTCTCTCGATTAAATTAACCTTTGCACCGGTCACCCAGCCTAGCAATCAATTCCATCCGTATTCCGAGACCCGCGCGGACCCGCTTTTCGTCAGCCAAGCGCGGCGTTGCCGATGACGAAAAAGCAGACCACTACATCGAATATTAGTTAATTGTCGCGGCGGGCAATCTGGTCGGTAGCCGAGCTGAAATCCAATTTGAGCGCTAAAAAGAGAAGGCCACGGAGAAAAGTCGTGCTCGGGCTCGGGAACGAGTCAATATGAGGGGCAGGCGGCGGCTGGGCGGCGAGCTAGACATAATCCTCGTCACGCGAGAACAAATTAAAACTTAGTCGCTTTGCAATCTCATCAAAGGCGGCCGGCAATTTTCCCTGAGCGTCGGGGATATTTGTTGCGTGTTACGCCCCGTAAAGTGAATTGTTTCTGGGATTTCTCGGTCGGAGCAAATTGCCGGAGCAGAGGTGTCCAGCTGCCTCGTAAAACCGAGCCGCTCGAGCCCTTATTTTCCTCCGCGGACCGAGGCGTCGCCGGCAGCGCCAATTACATGCGCCCGATCTCCATTGCGAGACTCAGCAGCTGATGATCCGCGCGCTCGGCTCCTCTTTGCGAAACGCCCATTAGCGAGACGCGCGGCTCTTGCGCCACTGCCGGCAATTGCGTTAACGCCGCGGCTTATCAAGCGCCGTCGGAGCTCGGCCGCCGCGACACTCGCCCAACACTGTTTCCGCGGTTGTTGCGCAATCGATCACCCGCGCTCTCGCACGTTTTATTCCGCTGCGGATGCGCATGCGCCACCAAATTTTCGGCGGAATTCCCCCCGACCCCCTCCTGCCGGCGCCGTCGTCATCTCGCCACGCGGATCATTATAAAATACATAATACCGCGCTCGCGACGTCGCCGTTGTCGTCGCAGTCGCCGTCGCAGCGCTAGTCGTCGCCTTAGTCGTCGTCGTCGTCTCGTTAAAAGTTTCTAGCTACGCGTATTCTTAATAGTCGGCGCTTGGACACGGCGTCATTAAAATTATAAGCAGTACCACGTTTCTTTTTTTTTCGAGCGAGCCACCTCGTTATTACGCTTACCCCCACTCTCGCTCTCCCTCTCTCTCTCTCTCTCTCACTCTCTCGTTGTTCCTGTCTTTTCTTCTTGAATGCTCGTTAGGAAAGTGTGTCACAGCGAGCGCGCGCGCGCGCGATAGAGAGAGAGAGAGAGAGAGAGCAAGGGATCTGCGGTAGTTAAGGTTTTCAGGTTCGCCGTCAATTACAAAAGCCGCTCGCATGTTTGATCGCATGCATTCTGAGAAAGCCAATTAATTGGCTGCACATCGATCGATGCCCCGCAAGCGAGCGAGCAGTAACTTTATAATGAAGCCCTCTACTCGTGCCAAGCTCGCACTCGTGGAGCACTCGCGCGGCGGCGGGAGTGGGGCCGAGGGGAGGGGGGCGCGAATGAAAGCACTTTGCAAGTTGCGCGAAAAGTTCTTTTCGCGCTGGCGCCATCCAGTGGCTGGCTGGCGGAGGGGGCTATGTAAATACAGCCACGAAATGGAAGGGATACGCTTATTAGACTGGACGAGCGATCGAGTGTATTTAGAGGCTCGCTCCGCTCCTATTATCATATAAATACAAAGCCGGGCGTTCAATTTACGCCGAGTTACAAAAGTTATTATTGCTATTGGCCGTTTAGAAAGTTTCGGGCGGCGCGGGCGGCGCGGGCGGCGAGCCGGGCCGACGAGCCTCGCGCTTAGCCCGCCGCTTCCGGCGCGCCAATTAGGCCGCTGAAAATGAGCGGGCCGGCGTCGCGCGAGGCCGACTCTCCGGGCTACTGGAAATTGCTCGACCGCGGCGGCGGGTCTTTAGCATTTATATTGGCTCGGCGCGCGGGTCAGGCGGGTCAGGCGGGTCAGGCGGGTCAGGTGGGTCAGGCGGGCCGCGCGGGCCGCTCGCGTCGACCGATAATGGGCCGTCCTTGAGCCGGGCCGACAGCCGGCCAGCCGTCTTGCTGCGCGCCGCAATCTGCATAATCTCCGGAGCGGACTCGATCCGCTCGGCTTGCTCCGGCATGGCGTGCAAATTAAAATCCAATTTCGCTTGTCATTAGGCCGATATTGCGCGCGGCGCAAAAATACAAAAGACGGGGAAATTTACGAGCGGAGAGCCGAGCCGAGGGGGAGAGAGCGCAGAGCGCGGTATTAAGTAATCGAAGCACGGCAATCTGCATGCTAACGGAGCGTTAATGCTTCTTTCGAGCCGGGACGCGAGAACTGGTTCGCGCGGCGATTACCCGCCTGGCGTCTTTGTTGCCGGCTGTCCGACGCGTACGACTCGCCGCCGGGAGATCATCGCCGCGCCGATTCCTTTCCCCCTCCGCGGCTGCAGTCGCCAGAGCCACGCAAATTGGACATTGTGCTCGGGCGGGCCTTTGTCAGCCGCCTGGCGGATTGGACCCGCGGGATTCGATCGCGAGCCGCCGCCGTCTTCGCCAGTCCCGTCGCGCGTTGTCGCCGTTGCCGCCGACGCCGTCGTCGCGAGGGCCGAGCGAGAGCAAACGAATCCGGGGAGGCGACGCGCGAGACCGAACGAGATCGGTGACCGGTTGCTACGCTCTACGCTTCGGCCGAGCGGAATTGTCAGTTGGTCGTCTTCGGCGAGGCGGCCGCGCGGAAGAAAAATTGGCGATACGTATCGGGGGCGGGGCGAGGCTAAGTAGCCGGGGCGCGCGAAGAGGAACGGCGCTAATTATTCGCGGACACAGCCGGCGAAAATGGGGCGGCCGGCCGGGCGTCCAATTAAAAGTTTAATAACGGGCAAACATGAATCCTTCTATCGTCGCAGCTAATGATTTAATCTTCCTTTTTGCTCGGCGACGCTTAAATATGCATGACGCGCGAAAAATTTTTCATCGCGCGCTATGCTAGCTCGCGGATTAAGGCTCTCTCGGTTAATTCTCGCTTGCTCGAGCGCAAATTGCCACGGCGTATTTTCCCAAGCAAACGACTGCGCGTACACGGGGAAAGAGACACACGTGGCGGCTATCGGCGCGCTTTTAATTCTCGGCTCATTAATCCGAAAAAATAGCCAGGCCGATGACAAAGTTTATTTTGCTTGGCGGGCGCAGCTTGGAAAAATATTACACGCGGCCTCTTCCTCTTGCTGCCGGCTAGCTGCTCTCCTCGTCCCCTTTGCTCCGTCTGTTCGGCCTTTTTTTCCCGCTTTTCGACGAACGCCCGCGGATTAAAATTCATGGGAGCTCGTCGAGCGACAAACGGCCTTGCAGCGCGTGCGTGCGCGGAAAAAAGTTGACGCAATCAAAAGGCGCGCGAGAGCCAGGGCAGTCCGTATATTTTCGTCCGGAGATAGCCAGCCTGCGCGTCCCCTCGACACCTGGCCGCCCGTCCGGCTCTCGCTCGTCGTCGCGTTGCGCGCGTGTTTGCTCGGTCGCCGCACTCGCGCAGCCGAACCCGCGACGGAGTCGAGGCAAAGGAGCCGTAGTCGAGCCAATTATCTTTTTCGATTGCGCCGCGGATCGGCTCTCGGTTTTTCCCGGTTGGGCCAGACCGCTCTGGCTCGCTTCGACGATGCAACTGGGGCTCGAGCCGCGATCGCTGATGGCGCCAACCGAGCGCCCGGAATCAGCGCCGGCTACGTGGTCCTTCCTTCTCAATTAGCGGAGAGCCGTTTTGTCCACGACCGATCGAGCCAATGATAAAGCTCTCTCTCTCTCTCTCTCTCTCTCTCTCTCTCTCTCTCTCTTTTTCTCTTTTAAGCGCCTCGTTACCTTCCCGCTTTCCCGCGCTGGACGATGCAAGCGTCCCCACTCGTCAATTAGAGCGATCGCGTACAATCGCTGCTCGCGGCCCAGCAAACACTCGGATCGGGAGAACAAAATACGAGTAATCAGCCCCAAACACACCGAGCCCCGCCGATTATGATTATTTTTTTCTTTGTCTTTGATGCGTGCAGTTAAAACGCAAGGCCAGCTAGCATTTTCCAATTATCGGCGGGACAAAGAGGGAGCGTTCGGTAATTGCCGGCAGCGGAGCGCGGGAAAAAAAAAAAGGAAGAAAAAAACAAAAAACAACAAGGAAAAAAGCAATGACGGGGTGGGGGGAGGAATAATTACCCGAGGCGCGCGGCTTTTTCGGATTAGCCGCCGCCAGTCGTCAAAGGAACGCATTGCGCTCGCCCCGATGAATTCGCTTTGACGACTGTGCAGCGCGCGCTCGCGCCCTGCCCATTTATAATGCACGCCTGCGCTCGCTCGCGCGCGCAGGCAGGAGCCAAATGTCGCGGCAGGTTCTTCTTGCTCTCGGTTGTTTGCCACCACGTGTTATTGACGTTGCGATCGACATGCGCCTGCCGACTTTTCCTTTATTCGCTCGACTGCAGCGCCAACCGAATTTCAGCCCTCGCCGAAATTGAAACAGACGTCGCGGTATCATTATAATGTTGACTCGAACGGGGGCTCGGCGCGGACGCCCGGTAAATCAACAATTAGCGCGCGCGATAAGGCCTTGGCGACGCGACACGTATTAATTGCAAGAAATTTGCTTGTATTTTCAATTAACGTCGGGACGCGTTAACGCGGCGGCGGCGGCGGCGGCGGCAGTGGCGCGCTGGTTGGGTCGGCTCGGCTGTCGTCGTAAATAATGGGCATAACACGCGCGGCGCGCCGGTTGTGCATCATCATCTCGTCAGGCGCCCAGCGCAGCTCGCTCGCGACTCGCCGGGCTTACGGAGCGCGCGGCCAAAGAAAGAATCGCGACGGTAATTAGCCGCGTGCGAGCGACATCGAAGCGGCGCTAGCGAGCGATAGGGGCGACTTCAAAGCGCGCGAGTGATGAACCGGGCGCCTAACGAAGCCCCGCTATCCGCAGTGTGTCGCGCGGCGAAGAAGGCGCGGGAGGCTGCCGGTGTTGATTCAACAAAGTGGCGAAATTGCTGCTGGGAATTTGGTATTCGGCCAGAATCGGTCTGATTGCACATCTAGGCCACGCGACGATGCCGCGCGCGCTGCTCTCTCTCTCTCTCTCTCTCTCTCTCTCTCTCTCTCTCTCTCTCTCTCTCTCTCTCTCCTTTTCGGCGGCGGCGGCAAGCGGCCTGGGTGGGGGTGATTGGACGCATCTCGGTGATTGTGGCGCCAAGCCATCCCCCCTCGAGAGCTCCGCTTTCCAGTCCACCGCAGCAGCGCCGCGCGCGCTGCAAATCGAGTTTACCCTCTTGCCGTGCCGCGCCGGCTCAACCAGCCAGCCAGCCAGCCAGCCAGCCAGCCAGCCAGCCAGCCAGCCAGCCAGCCAGCCAGTCAGCCAGCCAGCCAGCCAGCCAGCCAGTCAGCCAGCCAGCCAGCCAGCCAGCCAGCCCCCTTCAATCAAACTGATTGAAACATTCCTTGAATCCGAGAAAGAAACGAACCGTCACCGCTGCCGCTGCTGCCGCCGCCGTCGGCCCCACACCCTCGATAAACAGCGCCCAAATCCGTCGCTACTTGGCCCGTCCATAACTCGTCGCCGGGTATACTGACCTCATGTAGTCGCCTTTGCACAGGATCATGCCGTTTCGACTGTAGCACGTCGTCGAACTGTCCGCTATGGCGACGTTGCACGTCGTGCACTTGAGACAGTGGTTGTGCCAGTAGCGGTCCAAGGCGAACAACAGCCATCTGTCCATTATCCTGTTGCCACAGCCCGCGCACTGTTGGATGCTCGTCGCCATTCCCACTCCTCCGCCCTCTTGCTGCAACACGCACAACACACAACTTTACTATGCCCGACTGCTCGCTACGTCTGCGTTCGATCTCTCCTCCCGTACTCGATCTTTCTCTCGCAACAACACTCTCCATCAAAAATGCCCACTGTCGTACTGATATTTTGACAGAGTGCTCTTACGACTCCTGCAAGCGCATCCATAATTAATTCTTTGTATTCTGTTCAACTTACAGACATTATTCCACGCGTGTCAGTCTTTCCAATCGCGGCCCTTGCGTGCTTCTAAAAATGCAAAATTTCTTCATGTATATTGGAATCACAAATATTTCCCGAAAACAAGATCTTTCGACGTCGAGACAACCACATTTAGTCCTGCGTATACAACTATTACTCGCAGACTCCGTGTCGTAATTCGCTCAAACTACGAATAAGCGACAGTCGATTCTCGGTATTCTATTTGAACTTACAACCTTTAATCCGTGAACGTTAGTCTTTCCAATGCCGGCACTTTCGCGTTTTTAAAAATGCAAAAATTATTTTCGTGTACCGGCGTCGTACGCAAGCAAGACGTTGTCTACGTCGAGTCAATGTTTAGGTCTTCCCCCGATAGCAGCACTACGTGAAAATATTTACTCGCGGCTTCTCTGCGCTACGACTCGGCTCAAACTGCGGATAATGGGTATGGATCAAGGTTTATATCTAGATTGACGTCCGAGTGTTAGGCCGGTTTCTTCAGGAAACAAATAAACAAATCAAATTCAGAGCGCGGACGAAGACAACGGCGAAAACCGAGTCTAGTTTCAGTAGAGTGCTTTTACCATCGATACCAATCTAGATAAAACTATTTATCGTACTGGCAACACTTCGGGCGAATCATTCGGAGGCCGCGACTAATTATTCCCATTCGCTACACACTTCGGAGTACTAACTAAGCTAACGTTGAATGGACCAGTGTGATTTTCTTTCCATAAGAGCTCATTTTCACAAACGAAAAAATATGACTGCGCGGCAACCGCTACACTTCTACCCAGCCAAATACAAATGAAATTTCACTGCCGAATGGAATCCTAGCAGTCCGAGGAAAGAAATACGCGAGGATTCTCATTTCATTATGACACCACAAAAAATGAGATGCGATACAACGCGGGTACAGATTATACACTGCAACGTGAAAGGAAAACACATTTGTCACGAGCCGTGCAAGAAAAATTAATGCAACTTTCGCCTTCTTCACGGGCCTCCGCTACACGAACGATGCATTATTCTCGTACAAGTAAATTTTCCATCATTCAAGACGGCTAACCAACTATTTAAAGAATTTCAACGGGTTCGGGTTGGGTTTTCAGCCAACTACTTTCAATCGTTATACCGTTTTGGGTTTTATATGCGGGATTAAACGAAGAACGCTAATGGCTCATCCGACTTCATAATAGGAAAAGATTCGAGACCTATGTGGCGTCGTTGGAATATTTTTGTTCTGAGTCACGAGCATTTAAGCCTGTTCAGCCGGTTCAATGACAAATATTACATTAGGTGTCTTTCGATACAAGCAAATAAATTTGAAGAAGCTGATTTTATTCAGTTGAAAAAGCCCTACGATACTTGCTATCAAAGTTTTCTAGAATCTTGTCTTCAACTAAAATGAATTGCAAAACGTGAGAAAAAAGGATATTACGTACGTTTTACGGTACATTCGAGTGAGAGATAAATTTAAAAACAAGTTTCCACAGCGAGTTTTGTAGTGCTTTGCTTGTCGATGAAAAATAATCTTTCGATCATCCGTTTTCAGTGGGAAATAGTGTACACGTGAAGCTTCTCGACCTCAAGTTTGTCCTTCTAGTTGGGAATCTCGACGATAGTTGTTGCTCGAGTCGAATTAAAACCCGTTGGGGATTTCTCGATGTGCGCAACACACGTAAGAATTCGAAAGAAAATCTTGATGCTCTGTGCAATGAGTTTCGAATGAAATAACGATTAGAATTAATCCAAGCCAAGCAACCGAACGAATGTCAATCGTGGCTTTAATAGTTAATAGGCGATCCGACTGGCTGATATCGTCTGCTATCGATAATCCGTTTGATATTGTAAAGCCTAACAAAGCGAGGAAGGCAATCGCGTAATGGCAAATAGTGGAAGCAGACGAGTACGCGCTCGAATGAAATATATATTCGAGCAATAGCAGCGGGGCACTAATTGATGAAAAAGTAGCTTTCTTTTTTTCGAAAGTCAAGCAACTGTACGGCAGCGAATTAACAATGAACGTAGTTGTCGGACGAGCCGTGAATTCGCAGCGAGCACTCGGACGCACGACAAGCGACGCGTAAACGACCAACCGAGAACCCGTGAAAATATTTGGCGAACCAGCAACGCACGGCCGAGTAAGAGATGCGCGTAAAGCCGATAAGCAAGCAGAGTCGGCTGAATAGCGCGCCAAAAGCGGAGATTACAGCGGAGATATAGTAATGCACTTTCGTTTGGGTTATCAGGCGCCTTATCGGCTAATTAACAGCGGGCTCGCGAGCGCGATATCGACGTAATGGCGCGCGACGAGCGAGTCGCCGAGTGCAACAAGTACGACGAGGACGACGACGACGACGACGGCGGCGGAAGGCGAGCCAGCCTCGAGCGAGCGGCGTCGAGGAAGGCGTGCCGGCGAAACGGTACACGCCGCGTGCCTCCGCCGCCCGAGGAGCGATCTCGGCGTCGGGCCCGCGCCTCGGTTCACGGGCGCGTCGCCGCCCGTCCAATTGAATATTCATCGGACGTAGCGAAGCGGAGGACTGGTCGGCCACGCATTCCGCCCGGTCGCCTTTCGCGGCGCGCCGAAAACTACGCCGCTCGCCGCGCGCGTACGGACGCGCGCCCGCGCCGCGGCACACGTATACGCCACCCCGATAAATCGCGTCCGTTCAATTTGGCCGGGCTCTCGAAATAAATTTGTTTGCCCGGCACTCGTGCGCGCGCTCGCCGCCCGCTTTAATTGCTCATTAATTACGCGCGCTTTAATGAACTTTGAGTAATTGTGTTTGCTCGCGACTCTCATTTTTAGCCGAAATCATGACGCCACCGAGGCCGACGCCGCGCGTTTATCGCGCTCACGAGACGCTCCGCTCGCTCGCGCTCTTTCTCTCTCTCTCTCTCGCTCTCTCTCGGACCTTTTAGTATTCCACGGCGACGGAGCGCCCCCCATATTTTTGCACCGAGTTATACTGGCCTGTCGCGCGCTTATCCCCCCTATAAAATACCGATTGTAATTTTTACGATTCTTTTATCTGGCTTTGATATAATCAAGAAAAGTGGCTGTAAATCTCGGCCGCGCGTCGTCTCAGTTTTCATCCTGGCCGTCCGGCCCCAACGTCCCAAGCGTCCCGCCGCTCGGCCGAAGCCGTCCGAAGACGTACTCTTCGAAAAATGCCATCGTTGAAAACATGTTTGTTTCTCGCGCGCAGTCAACATCTTACTCAACCGAGCCAGCTGGTTTTCAATATTTATGCGCCGAGACCCGTTACGTCAGAGCGCACAGCTCACGCACACACCCACACTTGTTGCGCAGCGCACGCGCCTGCAATGCTTACGATTCGGTCGACAGGGAAGCATTTGACCGGGTGCATCCTGGGCGCGATATTGCCAAAGTGGTGGTGCAGCTCCATGTTGCGCCGGGGCGTTAAACCGCGCATTCACACTCGGGCAGCAGTCGCCGAGCGACGAGCAGGGCGCCCCGACAAATCCCGTCTTTCTCCGGGCTCTCAGCTCTAAACACACTGCGCGCACAGCACGTCACGATGCCGCCGACGCTCCTGTCCGCTCGCTGTGTCCTCTCTCGCTGGCCACACCGGGGCCACTCGATAAATCTTTTCCCGCGCGGGCGCGCGACACCGAGCAAAAGGCAATTTCACACGCGGCCACTGAGCGTTTGATATCTGAATAAACCAGTGCGAGAGAAAGAGAGAGCGAGCGAGAGACGCGGCGCGAGCGCGAGAGAGACGGAGAAAGAACGAAGCGAACGTGCCCCGCTGGAAGTCAGGGCCCAACTGACTGCGCGCGCACGCAGGCAGCGCGAAGGTGGGGGCCCCTCTCTTCGCAGGCCGATGGCGCGGCGGTGCGCTCGCTGCGGGCCCTCGCCTGGCTGCAGGTACGAGCCCCGCGCCCCCTCCGCCCGGCCGAGTGGGGCAAATAAAGAGCCCGTGCGCCTAGAAAGGATCCTTCTTTCTCGTTCTCCGCGCGCGGTGGGGACTCGGCCGGGGAGGGGGCACGCGCCAACTCCACCGATTCCCCTCGCGCGCGTCCCCGCCTGCCCCTTTCGCCTTCCTTCCTTCCTGCCAGCCTGCTTGCCTGCCTGCCTGCCTGCCTGCCTGCCTGCCTGCCTGCCTGCCTGCCTGCCTGCCTGCCTGCCTGCCTGCCTGCCTGCCTGCCTGCCTGCCTGCCTGTGTGCCAGCCAGCCAGCCAGCCAGCCTTCCTCCCTTGTGTTCCTTCTATTCAATTAGATTTCGCTCCATCCACGCTAAATGCCGCGTTGCTGGCCTCGTCAATACTAGTCGGCCGGGCTAACGGAACGATCGGAGTGGCCGTGGCGAGCCCAGGAATCAATTTGCCCTTCGCTTGGACACGCACATTTATACGCGCAACCTCCGCGAGCGGGAGATAGATCGCTTTCGAGCACCGACGCAATTGGCAGGCCGACGCCGCGGACGATCGTCGACGCTAAGGAGCCCGTGCATTTGGCGCGCGACACTTCCGCCACGCGTGCAGCGCGGCGCGCTTTCTCCCGGGCTCTCGCTCCGCGGACCGCGCGCCGCTCGCCGCGTAGAAAGTGGAGCTTAATTGCGCTTATCGTCGAGCACATCTCGTTGCCGGGCCAGCGAGAGCCAGCCGCGGATCCCGGAGATCGATCGAGTGCGGAGAGAGATGCGGAACGACGGATCCAGCATACGTACCTTGAGCGTGCAGTTGTTGTTGTGGTTGACGGGCGGGTAGCCAGCCAAGTGGCCGGGCAGGTGCGGGTGCTGGTAGGGCCTGTGGTGCTGCTGCTGCTCCTGCTGCTGCTGCTGCTGTTGCTGCTGCTGCTGTTGCTGTTGTTGTTGCTGCTGCTGCTGCATCATGGCGTGGTGGTGGCCGTTGCTCGGCAGGCCCTGGCTCGCGTAGGCCCCGGCCGGGCCTTGTCCACCGACGCCCGCGGCGCCCTCCTGCGGGCCCTGGCCATAGGCCGGCGAGTGCGGACTGGGGTCGGGCGTGGTGGCCGTGCCGCTGGCGCTGCCGGCCGAGGAGCCGCCGCCGCCGCCCCCGCCGCCGGCCGCGGCGAAGCCCGTGTGGTGGGCCTCGGCGCCGGGGGGCGCGTGGTGCGGGCTGCCCGCCAGCGACGGGTGGTGGGGGTAGGGGTTCATGCCCGCGGCTAGGGCGCTCGCCAGCTTGGCCGGTGGCTGGGGGCGGCCCGCCCGGGGCAGCCCACCGCTTCTCTAGTGGTCGACAACTGGCTCCGCGGGCCCCGGGTCAGCTGACCGCCGCCTCCGCCGCCGCCTCCGCCGCCTCCGCCGCCGCCGCCGCCGCCGCCGCCGCCGCTGCCGGTCCTCACTTCCACGCTCTGCTGCACCGCTTGCCTGCAATGAGAACGGTGCTCGTGAATTCTCGCCTTGAACACCTCGGCAAAGCTCCCCGGACAGCGAACGCCGATTCGACGCCGAGAACGGAGCCAAGTGCGCGTGCCGAAACGATCGAAGCGCGACACCAGTCACGAACGCTTCGGGGAGTCGGCGGATAGCATAATGACAAAGAGCGACGAAGAACGACAAAGAATAAGCTTCGTAGAGAGGCATCCGGGCGCTCCCACCGAAGCGCCCTCTCCGAAGGAAAAAACTCGTTTGCTCGTGGCCGTGGATTCCTCGCGAGTCCGAGCCGCGGCGGTTTTCCTTCGGCTTTCTTCGGGGGCTCGGCTTTTTAATTTTCCGGCAAAGGGGCCACCCAGCGGGAGCCTTCTCGGAAATTCGGCCCGACGGCGGCGCTGGGCTCGAAAGCTCGTTTTGGCCGAGCGCGAGAGAGGCCGGCTTCGGCCGCACGACGCTCCGCCAGGCTAGATTTGGCTTGGCGCGAGCGCTAATTACAAGCGACGCCGGGGCCGGTTCGCGCCCGCTTGGGCTCTGACGGGCAAGCAACCGCCGCCGCCGTTGACGCGCAATTACGAGCTTTTCCCGATGCCGCGCGTCCGTCAAAATATCAATTGGCCGGGAGATTGATGAGGCGCTCGGTCCGCGGGGCGCAGCAGCGAGGGAAAGCCAAACCTTTAATTTTCGAAAAGCCAAATTACACAGCGCTGGTGTTTTAATCCCGAGCGCTTCTCAGAACAATTCCCAGATGGTTGCGTGCCGGGGCGGCCAGGCGCAAAAGTATATATAGGCGCGTAGCTTTGGTTTTCGTGATCCGTGCGGCTCTGGCGACAGCGGCAAGAGAAATTCTAATTAATAAGCCTTCGACCTTTCCGAGTAGCGAGGCAGCGGCACGGGCAGGCGGGCAGGCAGCATCTATACCTGCGAGGCTCTCTCACAATGCCCGGAATAACGGTGCCCGCCGCTCGACTCGCCGCTCGCCTCTCCCCCCTCGAGTATATTGGACTTTAGAAAATTTCAGCTCTCGGTTTTACGACAGCGCCAACTGCTATTTCCAATAATGAGCAATGGTGCCAGCTCGCAGTTGTCCCGAGCGCGGCGAGCCCCGCTTCTTTTACGATCGCCTCGCCGTTACACCTGTAGCTGCGTGTGCATTAATCGGACGGCATGCAGATATCGTTGGCGCTTGAGTTATGCGCGCCATTCCTCGGAATTGGCTAACGCGCACCTTTTCATCAGCGGCTAATTACTATAATCCGCGCGGCCAGCGATAATTAGATTATTTCCACGTTGGCCCGCGTCCGTCTTTGTTCGAGCTGGCTGGCTTCGCTCTTAACTGACCGACCGGCCGAACGGCCTACCAGCCGAGCCAACGAGCGAGCGAGTGGCGTGTTGCCCTCGAGCTTTTCGAACGCCGCTCATTATATCTCTCCGCGCAAGTTATCATTACTCGCGGCCGCGAGAGAACGAGAGAGAGAGAAAGAGAGAGAAAGAGAGAGCAGTCGATTATCTTGCTTTTTGCGCATTCTGCCTGGATATAGTTCGGCCGCGCGCTGTTATTATTGCGAGCGAGGGAGAGAGAGAGAGAGGATTGTCGGATTCCTCGCGGAGCGGATTGCCGAGCGGAGATGGCGCTAGCTGCGTCGCAACGCGCTCGAAGCTCGATACGCGCTTAATCGAGTACACGCGTGCGGCGCCCCGCCGGAAAAGTCGTCGAAAGCGAGTCGCGGCGCGCTCTCTCGGCAAATTCACCCGAAACCCGAACCCACCGCAACGCTCGATGCGCGCCGCCGCGAGCCTCTTTCTCAGCCGCGTCTCTGTTTGTCCACGCGGGCCGGGCCGACTTTTAATAATGCCGGCCGAGAGAGAGAGAGAAAGAGCGGGCTTCGATTGTCCGGCAGCGCCCGCGCGAAATACGGCTACCTACTACGGGCATCAGCTGCGAGCTTCCGAGCTTTAATTATTCTATTAAACGGAGCGCGCTGAAAGGCAAACAGCTCTCCCGCGCGCGATGGTCTTTTCATGGAGTCGCCCACCCCCACCCCGATCCCCGAGTGAGTGCATCAAAAGGGCCAACTTTCATTTCGAAGGGAGCACAGTGACGGACAGAGCTCACCGTAAATTAGCTCAATTATGGGCGTGTCTCATTTGAATATTTCCTCGAGAGAGAGAGAGAGAGAGAGAGAGAGAGAGAGAGAGAGAGAGAGAGAGAGAGAGAGAGAGAGAGAGTGATTCAGCGTGTACGCGTTCCGGAGGGAGAGACAAAGGGAACATCGTGAGAGAGAGAGAGAGAGGCAATTACAAAATTGCAAAAATTAACCATAAAACTGGGAAAGGTCGTAAAGCCGTCCGTCCAATCGGCGCATATTTTCGGTGTTTACGACCAATCAGCCCGCAGCGCGCGCCTCGCCGCGGAAGACCGCGGAAAGAAAATTGCGCGATCTGCAGCGCGGAGGCTTTCCAATTTTCGACTTAACGACCATAACCGATAGCCTGGCCATTTTGTTTTTGCTCTCCTTCTCTCGGCCGTGCGCGCGCGAGACCCCTAATCTTGAGGCTGTAAAAAGCTGGAATTTTCAATTATCAGGAGTACATGTAAAAAGTGTTGCGCTCCGGATTCGGCTCGCGGGAAATCCGCGGATCCGTAGGTTCGGAGGCAATATAGAGACGCGGAGACCTGTAAATCACGGCTAAACGGCGTCAAAAAAGGCGCGGCGGCGGCGTTTATTAAATTTTCCCGTGGCGACTTAACGCTCGGCGAATTTATGGTCTCGCCCACGCGTACATATATATCGACGGCGAGGCGAAATTAACTGGCGGCCTGGCAATCAAAATCCATTTCACGGCCGCCTCGGTTTTATCAGTTTATCAGGTGCGGCGAACAGCTGGCGTATGGTAATGCCTCGCCGACAGAGCTTAGGGCTAGCGCACGTATGCCAATATCTGTCAAACACAGATTTTTTGTTGATTTATTCGGAGGGGAGAGAGGCGCTCGCGCGCGCGCCAATTCAATTCTCGGCGCTCGGCTATGGAATAATGACTCGGCCGACGCTGCCGGCGCTGCTTCCCGGCTGCAAATGATGTAACTTTTCTCATATCGACGTATAGTCGCGTTAAAAGCCTTTCGATGTACACGCTCGAGTGGTTATTATTAGAGCTGCTGCGCGAAACCGCTTGGAAATGAAAATGAAAAAGGGAGACAGAGAGAGCGAGAGAGAGAGTCGTCGATGGATGTTTGCCTGCGTCGTCTTCGCTCAAAGACTCTCTGAATAGACACCTTTAAAAAGGATCATTAGCGAGCGAGTTGCGTCAGAGCGTGAATGGAGAGATTACTCGGCGTCGTCGCCGAGCAAAGTTCAACTACACCGCCTACTTAGAGCATTGTACGACCACGCGAGTGGCGTCTGATCCGATTAATTTGCCTGGCAACTGCGACAAAGGTGTGCCCGCAGCGCGACAGCCAGGAGGAGGCTTTAGGTTAAGAAAAGCCTCCCCCTTTTCAGCGAGTGCAATCCGCCGTGTATTTCTTATTGCCTCGCAATTTCGCTTCCCTTCTCAGGCGGCGAGCGTTCGCGCTTTACGAGCGACCGAGCGAGCGAGCGAGCGAGCGAGCCTCGACGCGCCCCTCGCGCACTAGCGATCTGCGGTTACACCACTTTCCGCCTGGTCCGCTCCGCGCCGTGCGGCTCGGCCGGCTCTCTAGCCGTGCTTTTCCCTCGTGACTTTTTCCATCCGGGTCCGGCCCAACGGATCGGTCACGCCGCCCTGGTCTCCGCTTCGACCTTCGCGCCTGTCTCCATTACGCTATTGCCAATCGCTGCGAGAGAGAGAGAGAGAGCCGCAACTGTTTAACGTGGCGAATTTGTTAAGGCAGAGCATTTCGGGCGGATTACAGCCCCACCTAATAAAAAAGCCCTCGGCTATTTGGCCAGACTGCCGGCGTAAAATTTTAATAGATATATGGGCCGCAGATGGTGATTGCATTGTCGTCGTATCGAGCCGCGCGCGACAGCGAGTTTACACCTACCGTAAATCATCCTAAGAATTGTTTGCAAAATGAGAAATCTCGGGCTAGCTTTATTACCTAGCCAGAGAGCGAGACAGCGAAAAGCTTAAAGTGAATCATAAATGAGAATAAATTGCCCCGACGAGTCGAGTTACGCGTACTTTGGTCATACATGTGAAATTTCATTTAGAGAGACGGCTAACATCCGCGAAACTAGACGGAGGGCAGGAGAAATTTTAATTAATTCCGAAAGAGACAGAGAGCGGGAGCTTATTAGCCTCCCCTCGAAAAGGGATTGAAAATCTCATAAAGCAATTCCTAACTAACCCCTAGCTAGCCTCTCCTCTCCTCTCCGCTCCGCTCCGCTTCTCCCCGCGCCCCGCGACCGTGCTATTCGCTCGCGTCTTGCGCGCGATCGTCTGCGCCAGCTAGTCGATGTGCGCGATAAAAGACAAAGCCGTCTCGATCTTCCTCTCGCTGCACCTAATATGGCTCTGCTATCAGCCCTTTGACGCGCGCTCCCTCGTGCGACTGCTCCTTTTTAAGCGATTCGCTCATCCTCCCGAACTGCTACATCTTTCACGATCAACAATTCTTTAACAAAGCTGAGGCTTGACCCATTCTTATAAATAATCGACCGAGCGTCCTTCCTCCCGGTTCCTCTAACCTATCTCTCAACGCTTGTCAGCCTCGGCAGCCAAATTATTTTTTCAACGAACAATCAACTTTGCAACAGAAACGACGTTAATTTCTACTTGCTCGATAAATTTCTTATAGTGCGAACTACATTGCCAGAGTGCACTCGTGGAAATGTACGAGCAGCTGGCATCCTAAAATAAACAACATAATAACAATGAACGACCGCCATGACTAGACTACAGTGACCATGCCTTTGCCAACACAAGTATATGAGAAATACGAAAAAAGCACGTGCAACGATAGAAAAGTACAGAGCCCGTATACGCAGGCAGTTAAGAGTCGCCTGTCCAAT